GCATAAAAAGAAAAAATTAAAAACAGTACCTCAGCCAGGCGTGGTGGCACATGCCTGTAATCCCAGCACTTGGGAAGCTGAGGCAGGAGAACTGCAGCAAGTTCAAGGCCAACTTGGGCTACATAGTGAATTCAAGGCAGCCTGAACTGCACAGCAAGACCCTACCTCAAAAAGACCAACAAAATCAAAAACAAAAAAATATTACTTCCTTGTGCTTACAATCTTGTAGGGAACATAAACAATGATAACACCATGAGATTATAAGGGGAGTCCTAAAGGCTCCAGCACAGAAGAATGACTCCTAAGTGACAAGTCAGAGACAGTTTCTGAAGAAAGTGCCTTTTAAGCAGATACCAGAAGAATGAATCAATGTGAGTTGGGTAATAAGAAAGTAAGGGGAAAAATATGTTCTGGAAAGGATGCAAAGGTGACAGCAAGAGAGTTAAGTAGGTGCTGACTTTGCCGAGCAGAGCTCAAAAGGGCATCTTCGAGTCTGGCATTTTCATCCTAAAGGCAACAGGCAACCCTCACTGAAGGACATTAGGCAGATGCTCACCCTCTGAGAAGCTCACTGTGGCTGTGTGTTAGAGAATGGAGCAAGGATGGTAAGACTGCAGGGATATGGACAAAGTTAGTGAAACCACCAAGGTAAGGAACAGCCTAGGGCACTCTGTAGGGCAGTGGCAGTCATGACAGAGACAGGAATTATGCCAAAAATAAGCAGGTCAAAGAGCGAATGGGATGGGAAAAATGTATTGTATGGGAAGAGTCCTAGCTAGAAACGTGAGAAAATACACATCTGTCAAAAAAAGGGGACTGCCTTTCTGAGCATAATTTGAGGAACCTGTCAACTCTTCTCCAGTAGGCAGCTATCACAATAGCAGGGAGAGAAAACAAGCCACAACACTTTAATATGTATCATTCAGTGTTCAGATCTTTATATTTATTCATTTAAAACCTACTCTATGAAGTAATGCTTATACCTTTGATATGGTCTGGACATATTTTGAGGACATCCTCCAAAGGTTCATACAGTAGAGGCTTGGTGTCGGCGTGGCAATTCTTTTTGTTGGTGGGGGCTGGGCATCAAACCCAGAGCCCTGTGCATGCATGGCAAGAGCTCTAGCACTGAGCCACATCCCCAGCCCCCTCAGTGTGGCAATGTAGAGTTGACAGGACATTTAAGAAGTGAAGCCTAGGGGAGGTTGCTGGAGGCCCTGCCTTTGAAAGAGATTAAGGTAGTTCTTGTGGGACTCTGAAATAGTTTCTGTGAGAGGATGTTACAAAAAGAACAAACCTAGCCCCTCACCCTCCTATCTCACCATGTAGTCTCTCTTGGGTTTTTTGTTGTCTTTTTGAAACAGGGTTTCACTACCCAGTTCAGGTTGGCCTTGATCTCACTTTTTAGCCCAGGCTGGCCTGGAACTCACAGTGATCTTCCTGCTTCAGTCTGCAAGTGCTAGGATTATAGGTGTGGACCACGATGCCCAGCCTGGTGCCTCATTCTTGTATACACTCTCACCCCATGGTGCCATTCACCATGAAATACCCAGTTCCAGAGCCAAGTATCATGTCCTTGACTCTCCAGAGCTGTGAGCTAAATGAAATCCTTTTCTTTATAAAATTACTCAGTTTCAGGTATTTCATTATAGTGACAGAAAATGGATTAATACAACTTTCTGTCCCTATTTTAAAACTTTTATTTTTATTAGTATATGTTTGCAGTACATAATGATTACATTCATTGTGAGGAATTCATACATACAACTCTTTTTCTTCCCCCTTCCCCTATACTTGCTCTTTTTTTGGCCAGCGTCAGATTGATTTATAAGTCCTTATAAAGTTAATTACTATATATACAGATAAACGGGCAGATTTATCCCTATTTTATACACAAAGATTATATACATTGCCCCAAATCACAAAACCAGTAAGTATCTTAGTCTAGATTCCACACCTTTAGTCTGGACTAAATTTAAATTGCTAGGCCCAACTCCCTTATCATATTGGGGACCAAAGCTAGGGACTTGCACTGAGCTACACCTTTAGCCTTTTTTAAGTTTTTATTTTGAGATAGGGTCTTCCTGAATTGCCCAGGATGGGGTAAAACTTGTCATCCTCCTGCCTCAGCTACCCAGAGTGCTGGCATTACAGGCATGTGCCACCATGCCTGGCTCAGTCTAAACTCAGAGCCTTGCTGTTGCCTCTCATAATACAGTACTGAGACTAGTCAAAAATACACAGATATCTTGGGAACACTGATTACATATGAATAGACAAAAATTCCCTGGCAGAACACAATAAATGAAAAGATAAAGGGGCTCAGATAGACTTCAAGCTCATAAACAAGAGGTGTTCACAAGGGAAATGGGTGTGGCAGAGAGGTAGGAGATATTCTAGTATCCCCTCAAAGCAGTACCCCCCTGCTCTTGGTATCCCCCTCAAAAGCAGCAGAGGAGGGTCCTGAGGAAGAAAACAAGTATAGTGTCAAGAGACACTGGAAAGTCATGGGAAACATGTAAGATGCTGGTTTATTTTTTACAACAGGTTGGTAAACTATACCGTGTTTTTGTAAGGCTCAAACTAAAAATGATTTTCTCATTTTTATAAGGTAAAGGGGAACAGTACTACACAGAGACAGAATGTACCTCTCAAAACATCACATTTATATACTATCTGGTCCTTTACTAAAAAAAAAAAAAAAAAAAACCATGTCCAAGATCACTTGTGGCCTTGGCAAGAATAAATTCAGGGAAATGGGAAGAAGAAAACCAGATTTCAGGTTAATACGGAACGCAAAGGAGTAATGGAGAGATAAAGTGATTCTTTGACCTTGTCTGGCTGTGAGAAGAACTTCAAAGGAACCAAGGGAAGAAAAGGTTTGTGTGCTTCCCAGAGAGAAGAGATTTGAATACTGTTGACACAAACAGGAAGCCACTGAAAGGGAATTGATGAAAATTCAGGAAAGAGAAGCTGCTATTGGGGAAGGGCCCCACTAGAGGGAAAGTACAGAATGGAAACACAGGCAAGGCTAGGAATACCCCTTCTTAGATAAGAGGAGGGCAGGAAAGGGTGGCTGCAGACAATGTGCAAACACAGAAGGGAGCACACTGCAATGTACCGTTTTCCTTTTCTTCACATCATCAGCTGGCAGCAAAGTGGGACTGGTAGCATCAGGGATTTAAAGAACAGGTAGAGAAGTCTGAAATGTCTGCAGTGAAGGCAGAGTGTGCTTGCAACAAAGAAATACAGAACGCAGATCAACCTCAAACACCCACTTAAAGTCAGAGACCACAAACCACAAAGTTTCATTCATATGCCCTGCATGCCACAAGCCACAAGTATTTTCCAGATAATGGAATATATTCTCTTTCAATCCATTATAAACTTTGATGGAAACTTAAAATTTGTACTTTTTTGAATAGAGCGTATTTAGATAGTGCTTTGAGCAAGGTGTCGTGGCGCACACCTGTAATCAAAGCACTCAGAAGGCTGAAGCAGGAGGGATCGCATGTGAGTTCAAGGCAGACTGAGCTACATAGTGAGACCCCGTCTCAAAAAAAAAGAAAGAAGCTTTGGAATCAAAGCTGGGTTAGAATCCAGCTCTGTCATTTACTAGCTGTGTAATTTTATCTAAGTTAATGATTCTCAGTAACCTATGGTTAAAAGGGGTTACCAATAGTTGTCTGAGATTTCATGAGGACTAACCAAGATTTATTAAAAAAAAAAAAAGACTCTGTGTATAAGTGGCAAGAGAAATGGCCCAGTAAATAAATCATAACTGTATTACATTATTATTATTATTATTATTATTATCATCATTATTATTATCAGCCGCAGCAGCAGCACTATTTTACTACCTCACATTACTGGCACTGGCTCATCTTAAGAGTCAGAACGGAGTCCAAAGAGGAGACATATGTCAAGACACTTCCAACTGTCACACAACCTCAGCTCTATCACTAACCAAATGACCCAGGCAGGGCACTCTAGACAGCAAGTTTTCAATGTGTAGAATAAGGAGACGGGACTCGTCATTATAAAACTCGGAAGGCCGTTCTCATTTGGATATAGAGCCAACAGTGCTCTGTACCTGAAAATATGATCTTTCAATTGACCACGTTCGTTGCTGTACAACTGCTATCAACAAGATTTGAGTCTGAATCCAGTTCTTCCTAAATAAGATGTACTTAACTTCTCTGACATTAGGTTTCCTCAGTTATAAAACAGTAAAAAAGACTTAATTTACCCCATTGTAAAGATTTAACAAAAAAGCCCTTAGGATGGAGCTATTGGCTCTAGTCTCATCCCTCCGGCTATAATCTGTGAGAACTCTCCCCCTTCCCCAGCACTCCAGAGGAAAACTTTGGAAGTGAAGTGCTCCACACGGTGCCCTACTTGAATCCTGTTCACACTCGTGGCCAGTCGTTATTTTCCTACGAGAACAAACTGGAAGTTCATTAAGAAGCCAAACTTTGGGAGTGTTAGCGCATCCAAAGGGTCTCATTACGCGACGTCTCATCTAATTTTCCTCTTGGGTCACACATTTTGACAATCCTCCCCCACGAGGCCACCCTGGGGACCAAAACAAGGGGCAGACGCAGAGTCAGGTGTAAGGATCCCAAGATGCCGAGTGGGAAACTACGGTCTGGACGCGGATCTTTGAGTTAGGACGCCTGGGATGGAAACATGTGAAAGCTTTCCGCAGGGACTAACGAGAGGCGTCTCGGCAGATGTCCGACTTCCATTTCGGGAGCTCTCAGCGGTCCAGGTACCCAAGACCCTGCCCAGCTGCCCTGCGGGAGACAGGCTTTGGCGACAGCGCCAAGAGCGGTCCGCACGTGCGGCCACGAAGCTCTCCTCCCGAGGTCCGAGGTCGCCGGTCCCAGCAGCCGTCCAGCAGCGGCTCCGTGCAGCTGAGGGCGCGGCTGACAGGACGGGACGCGCCACCCGCGCCGCTCCCGGGTCCGCCAGGACTTGGCGCCGGAGCCCAGCCTTACCTGGAAATGCTCCTGGAAGCGGATGGGGAGAATCTGCGCCATAGTAGGGGCGAGACAGAGGTAGCAGCGGTTCCCTCGAGCTGGCTGAGGAGCGGTGGCCAAAGCGCAGGCGCACTGCTCCGGGTCGCCCGGCACCTCGCCCCTCCGCGAGAGCGCCCTGCGCGGGATCCCTCCGCCCGCCCCGAGGGTCCGCGAAAAGTAGTCCCGCCTTCACCCACACTTCCGGCATCCTCGAGCGAGAGCGCTTCTGCTCTCCATCCGGCTAGTGTCTGGGGTAGGTGTGCTCGAGAAGGCAGAGAGGGTCCAGAACTGCCGGAGACAAGTGTGCGCGGGAATGTGGGCCAGGTCCTAGGGTGTATGCGGGGAGGTGGGCTCGAGAGTGTGTTCGGAAAGGTGTTTGCAGTCCTAGACTGCTGCCCTCGGACAGTGCTCCCGACAGGTGTGGCCTGACCTTTGCAAAATCCTGGAGCCAAAGGTGTCTACAGAGGTAAATGAAGTTATCCGACTACCCTTACTCAGCGCTTTCCCCGAATAGAGGGCAGCGTGGTAGTTCTACCTCAAACTCTGAGCTGTGGAGTTCAGGGCCACTTTTGTTGTTGCTCTTTTCTTTTTTCTTTTCTTTTCTTTTCTTTTCTTTTCTTTTCCTTTTTCTTCCCTCATCTTTTTCTTTTTGGCGGTACAGGGGTCGAATCCAAGGGTGCTGTACTACTGAGCTTCACTCCCAATCTTACTTATTTATTTACTTATTTGAGACAGGGTCTCGCTCTGTAGCCCAGGCTGGCCTCGAACTCGCGGGGATCCTCTTGCCTCAGCCTCTGAGTGCTGGGGTTATAGGCGTACCTCACCATGCCAGGGTTTGTTCATGGATTTTCAATCCTCCTGCCTCAGCCTCCCACATAGCTAGAATTACAGGCATGCACCACCGACCCTGACTCGGTCACTTTTTACTAAGGCACATAAGTTACAAAAATATGGAAAGGAATCTTGGAAACACATATGTTCCTTCGCAAGGTGTAGGCACTTCTCCTTTAGAAAACATCCTTCCTGGTTCAAACCGGTTTCTAGGAAACACTTCCGGAATATCAGTGCTGACAGTTCAAAAAGATCGTCCATCTAGCAACAGATGACCAATCGAAGCCAGTGAGGGTCATCCAAATTACCTGTGGTCACTTAATAGTAGAGTAAGTTAGAACTCTGGCCTACACCTGGTTTGCCCAGTGGCCAGTTATTTTCTCTGAAGCAGCATTTGAAGATGTGCTTTGCAAGCAGATGACTCAGCTACATAAAAGAAGCTTGTCCAGGAAAGGGAAGCCTTTGGCATTCAGCATAGGCTCTCCCAGGTGTAATCGACATACTTCTACTGTTGCACATGTTGCTCAAGGTAAACCTTTTTTTAAAAATTAAGTTTATTAGTCCAATTTAGGGCTCAAGGTAAATTTTAAGAAATGAATTTGTCCACTATGAATAACACAGTGATGGTGCAGTTATTTGTACAGTAACTTGACCATCTAGGAGCTAAAAATATGTTAAAGAATAGAACAGCCAAGTAATGGTGCATGCCTGTAATCCCAGGACTCTGGGAGACTGAGGCAGGAGGATGCAATTTGAGCCCAGCTTGCGAAATTTTATCGCATCCCTTTCTCAAAACAAAAATAATAAAAGGGAGTTGGGTATGGTGGTGTAGGCCTGTAATCTCAGCATTTTTAGAAGTTGAGGCAGGAAAATCCACAGTTGGAGCCCAACCTGGGCAATTTAGTGACTTAAGACCCTATCTCAAAATTTAAAAACTTAAAAAAGGGCTGGAGATGTAGCTTATTGTGAAGTCAGTGGGTTTAATCACTTTCAAATTAAACTTTCTTTTCAGTATTAGCCAAGACCTCTGAAAGTTGCCCTTTCAGCATGTGTGTGGCTTCATCCCCTAAAAATAGAGTTGATTTTTGCTGTGGGTAGTAGTGCATTTTCCAAATCTATTTTGGAAATAATGCTAATTATTCCAAAGTATCTTTTACCCCAAATATTAAGTAAACCATTTTATATTTCTTTTTTGTACTGGGATTGACCCAGGGATTTCCACTGAGATACACTGTTAGCCTTTTTTTTTTTCCTTCCCCCCCCCCCTTACCGGGAATCAAACTCACGACCTCGTGCTTGCCAGGCAGGCGCTGTGCCGCTGAGCTAAATCCCCAGCCCCACCCTTAGCCTTTTTAAAAATTTAAATTTTTTTAAAATTTTGAGACAGGGTCTTGCTAAATTACTAAATTGTCCAGGATAGGTTCTAACTTT